ATTTCGATCGTTGTTAACTTAGGCATCGAAGTGTTCCCGACTTCCAAACTATAACACCTAGACATACAATCATATATCAAAGTTTAACATTGGATCCTAGTTTTCTGACTTATTTATGAACTACATATGTCTTATCCAGATCGTTTGACGTCGTCAACGAGGACAAAACTTGTGAGCATATTTGTTGGGTCAATCTCTTTAGCCCCATAGTCTCGATTAATGAGAGAGTAAAAGTAGTGAGAAAGTAGGGGTTCAATTGACCCCTAGATTTAATAATAAAAAATGCACTTATAACCCTATTTTATTTGTATTTTAAACCCTTTGAACAAAATTCCACCCTTAGCCTAAGAGGTCCAAACTAATTTTCTTTCACTTATTTTATGGTTTCATCTTCTATCTAACCCTAAACTCTCTCAACCAAAAATTGAAAACTTCTTCCAACCTCTACTCTTAATCGCAGTCGTAGCGGAGCCGCCACCACCACTGCTCGTTTTCCAGTATCATCATTTCCATCCCTTATTCTCTTTCACTAATTTGTAAAACAAAAGAAACAAATCGAGAAATTTTTTTTTAATTCACCTCAACTGCCATCGAGCGGAGTTCTAGGACTTAGGCAGGCTAAAATAAATAAGGAAGACACAAAATCATACCATGTTCTTTGTCTGTGAACATAATACCTATATATATAGTCCATCTCGCGCACGTGGGTGAATTTAACGAGAGTCTAGCCCATCATAGTTGTATGTAAATTGGTGTCCAAATTGCTCAACTTTAGTGCCTTCTAGATTTATAAATGAAAATCCGACACATTATTTGCAATTTTAAAGCACCAAAACCAAATTTTAACACACCTTAGCTCTCCTACTGTTGTTTATCATACAAACATAATCTTACCATCAATTAACACATTCCTTATATATATAAGGCACATTATGCCTTCATGATTTGAGTCAGAGAACTCCTTAATATAAATCAGGGTTTTATATATATATATATATATATATATATATATATATATATATATATATATATATATATATATATATATATATATATATATATATATATATATATATATATATATATATATATATATATATATATATATATATATATATATATATATATATATATATATATATATATATATATATATATATGTATGTATGTATGTATATATATATATATATATGTGTGTGTGTGTGTGTATATATATATATATATATATATATATATATAAGGAGAGAGAGAGAGAGATAGACACACACACACACATACATACACACACATACTTCTCTTACTTTATTTTTCTTCTAGTTTAACCTTTTGATTCACCTCAATAAGGTCCATAGCCATTAACTAGCTTGAAATGCGGTTTAAAGCAAGAAAACGATGGTTTTAGGCACATTATGCCTTCATGATTCGAGTCAGAGACCTCGTTGATACAAATCAGGGTTACACACATACACACACATACACACACACACACACACACATATATATTGCGTATCATATGAGAATGTCATTTTTATGTGAGAATATGAGAATGAATCTGAACCATTAGATTTTAAAATAAATGGTGGATATTATGTGTTTTTATTTATTTTTCTCGCTCCTCTATCATTTATTTTTAAATCTAATGGTTCATATTCATTCTTATGTTCTCACATAAAAATGAAATTCTCATAGGATATGTCCTCTCTCTCACTCTCTCTCTCTCTCTCTCTCTCTCTCTCTCTCTCTCTCTCTCTCTCTCTCTCTCTCTCTCTCTCTCTCTCTCTCTCTCTCTCTCTCTCTCTCTCTCTCTCTCTCTCTCTCTCTCTCTCTCTCTTTCTCTCTATGTATACACACACACACACGCACAAACATACACACACACACACACATACTTCTCTTACTTTATTTTTCTTCTAGTTTAAGCCTCTGATTCACCTCAATAAGGTCCATAGCCATTAACTAGCTTGAAATGGGGTTTAAAGCAAGAAAACAATGGTTTTAGGCACATTATGCCTTCATGATTCGAGTCAGAGAACTCCTTGATACAAATCAGGGTTACATAAATAAAAATCCGCCCAAAAACCAACATGTGACACAGGATCCTTGATTCGAGTCATGACAATTGTGATTCGAGTCACATAATTATTGATTTGAATCATGACAACTTTGATTCAAATCACATGATTCTTGATTCGAATCATGAAATCTTTGATTTAAACCACATGATTCTTGATTCAAATCACAGGATTCTTGATTCAAGTCAAACGACGAGAACTACATAGTTTTTCGCTTGATTTGAATCAACGACCCCTTGATTCGAATCAATGTAACTGAATTCTAATTTATTTGCAATATTAAAGCACGAAAACCAAATTTTAACACATCTTAGCTCTCATACTATTGTTTATCATACAAACATAATCTTACCATTAATTAACACAATTACTACTACATAATTATCATTTTAATCATGTCAATGTTGAATTCTATCATGTATTTTTCACGCCATTGATAAGCAATCTAGTAACATATACATCTCCATCTCTAAATCAATCACCATTCACTCATAACCCAACTTAAAACTAAAATGCAAGGGTTTCTATCTATCATATTAATCTTAGAACGTCTCTATCATTCTATTCAATTTTTCAACTTCACATTTTAGAGGGTGAGTTTTAGTGTTTCAAGTCTCCTATCTATTTATCTTACCCATGCATGAGAAGGTGGTGAAGGAACTCACCTGAAATGGGAGAGAATTCGAGAGGATAGATGAAAAAAATGTTTCTCTCTCAAAGATTTTGATTTCCTACTTCCAATCCTTCAATCTTTAACCTTGATTTTTGATTTTCTCTTCCAATATTTAAATCAAACCTAGCATATAAATGAGAGAGTGGGGAAGGAATGGATTATTTCGCACATTCTTTTTGGGTTGGTAATTTTGTGGTTTGAATTTCATGAAAGGATCAAGTAAACATTCTCCTCTCCATTAAGAGAGAGATAGAGAGAGATGTGTGAAGGAAATGAATACTTTTCTCATTTCCACACTTAAGCGCCCACTTACTTGGATGATACAAATACCAAAACGCCATTGCCTTTGAGCTAATTCCAAAACTTCCCTATTTATTCCATTAGGATCTAATAGTAAGATTGTCGTTTACTAATAAGTAATAATTGTTGGAAATAATTAGATATTCTCAAGACCCAATTGATCATGTAATAAAGATTTGCAATTGGTAAGGTATTACATTTCACTATTAAATTTATTGTTTAGTTAAAATAGTAAATTTGACAAGTCCTTTATTAAAACTATAAACTTGTTATCATGATAGAAATTATGATAATAATAAACAAGTTTTTTATTATTTTAATCTAAATTGTTCTTAGTTGTAAAACTATTGTGAATAGGATATCAATAATTCATATGGATCAATATATATGTGATGGTCTTTGATGGATAAAGATTAATAGATGTCATTTATTAATTTGCATATATAGATGATGCATATGTTGATATGATGTTGAATTGACTTAACTAAGATTTTCTAGCAATCAATATTACCTAAATTTGTCAATGGAAATTCTCAATAAGAAATATAATACTTTTCACTGATGATATGTCAAGATATGATTTTTTGTATATAATGAAACATAAATCTGAATCATTTGAAATGTTCAAGAGATTCTGCAGCGAATTCAAAAAGAAAATTGGTAAGTTTTTTTTGGTAACAACTTCGTTATTTAGGCTGATTTCTACATCATTTTTCTCACATTTTGAATATTTAGAAACATGTGACTCTTGTATTTTGGTTGCACTTCATCATTTTCACACCACTCAAAATAATTGCATTCACAATTAACATATTCTTTATATTATAAAAGAGTAAAGATGCACACGTTTGATAACTTAAATGACCAAGTTGTTACAAAAAAACTTAAATGACCAACATGTTGTGCAGAAATAACTTAAAAGACCTCTGGTGTAATTTTGTCTTTAGTTTTTTAAACTTTCAAATAGAAAATAGTTTTTAAAAGTAGTTTTGTAAAATTAGACTATCAAACAAGTTTTATTATTTTCAAATTTTAAAAACTAGAAAACAGTTTTACAAAACCAAATCAAATATGTCTTGGATAATTCCTCTTTTCCTCTCTCTCCCTTTAATTTACTCCAACAAAATGACCTAAGGGTATGTTTGAATTGATGGAATATAACATAATAGAGCGGAATGGAACATAATAAAATGAAATGGATCAAAATGAAATATAAATCTCACTCAATTGTTTGACTATTTTATTAATAAAGCAGAATGAAATATATATTTCACACCATTGTTTGACTATTGTATTAAAACATATTTTATTCATTGCATACACCCAAATTTAGATGGAACAAACATGGGGGATCAAATTGAATGAGTGAAATAATTTCATTCATGTTCCATTCCATTCAATCTATTATTGTAAACAATTGAATCTCATTTTTTACTATTCTATTTCATTTCGTTCCGTCACATTTGATCAATTCACATACTTTAAAAGGTAAGGTTAACCTTAAATTTTGTTTGGATTAATAGATTCAGATACAACATAATGATTTGTGATAAAGTATAGTTGTATTACATTCTTTGTATTCATAGGGAATAAAATGATATGTACTCTATTACATCAACTACACTATACCTTTTTCCATTCAATTTGGACGGAATTAAATTTTTGTATTATTCTATGATTCTATCATAAAATTTTCAAATAATGGATTGAAATTTTCATTCCTTACATTCCATTCCATTTATATTTTTCATTCTATTCTATTTTTTAGTTTATTTTTTAAGATTAGGCTTAACTTTGTCCAACAATTCCTCTATTTTTAGTTAAAATTTAATAATAATAGTTTTAATTAAATTGTAATGACGTCAATAGTCCTACACATATAAAGCCACAAAATCGAACCATCAATCAATTTCTATTTCCCCAATTGGATCCACCGACGAAAAAGCCACCGGAAAATGGCAGGGGTTTCGCTCCAGTGCGGCGATTGCGGCGCTCTCTTGAAATCGGTCGAAGAAGCTCAAGAACACGCTGAGCTCACTTCACACTCCAATTTCTCCGAATCCACCGAACCCGTTCTAAATCTCGTCTGCACAACTTGCTCCAAACCCTGCCGATCCAAAACCGTCAGTCTCACTCCCCTCCAATTCTCAATCCAAACCCTAAACCTTCCCATCATTCATAGTTTTTTTATTTCAAATCGAATCACATGCAATAAACCTTTTGTGCTGTTTTAGGTTTTAATTTGATCGAAAAATCCGATTCTGGTTAACTGAATTCCTTTTTTGTTTGATAATATAGGAGAGTGATTTACACACCAAGAGAACCGGACACACTGGCTTTGTTGATAAGACTGCCGAAGCTGCAAAACCAATAAGTTTAGAGGTTCCTAAGGGGGATGCAGAATCACAAGAGGGTGGAACCAGTGATCAAAATGAAGGTGATGATTTTTTGTTTGATAAACTTAGTGGCGACTCTGTTTCAGTTTATGTATCTAATTCATTCATTACTCATTTGCTTTTAATATTGTGAAATACAGAAATGGTTGTTCCAGAAGTCGATAAAACTCTGCTTGAGGAACTTGAATCAATGGGCTTTTCAACGGCTCGTGCAACAAGGGCACTTCATTTCTCTGGTAAGTTTACATGAACTAATAGTAGCAGTATTCTTTATGAGTTTGAATTGGAAAGGGTTCATGAAATTATATACTCCATGAAAATTGAGATTGATATTCTTGATCATAATTGTGCCACAATGCATCTGTTTCTATGCCATTTGAAGGAAATTTATAAAGAATAGTGTTGGATTTTATTGGTTGGGGTTGGGTTTGCCATGATAAACAAAATTTAATAGTTTATTAGATGCAATGCAAATCGTAATTTTCATGTTCATATGTATTAATCAGTTATTAATTTACAAATTACAAGGTATTTAAATGCATTATTTATGTTATATCTGCTGACCCAGTAGTTTCTTCTGTGGCTAATTTTCAAAACCGTGAAACAACAATAGATATGTTAACTCTAGAATATTAACTTAGGTTTCTCTCTTTTACAGGTAATGCTAGTCTCGAGGCTGCTGTAACTTGGATAGAAAACCATGAGAATACACCTGACATAGATGAGATGCCCTTGGTACAGTATTTTTGTTTATTCATACAGCTTATTGTTATAGCTCATGCACTGTTTCATAAGTTACATATTTTGATTTTGCAAACTTCAATTAAAATAAGAAAACTAGTTCATGTTATGAGTGATACACTTTAATTCAGTTGCAATCTCTACCTTCTGACCTGATGGTTCACTCAGGTACCTGCTGTCAGTAAAACTAAGGCTACTAAACCCTCTCTTACCCCAGAAGAAACGAATGCCATACTAAAGGAACTAAGGTATGAAACTGAATGCAAAATAAGTTTCACATTGTGGGCCAAGTTATGAAGCTGTTTCATAGTTAGAATTTTGTTGTGGCAAAGGATTGAGGAATGATTTTAACCATGCATTGGTCGAAGTAACGTATTGTGGCTAATCCCTTATAAAATCTTAAAAGAAGCAATTATTGTCGAGGCATTCTGGTAATTATTTCTAAAGTGGCTTAGCGCAACACAGTTAGCGCTTGATATTGATGTATACATATCACGCCCTGTTTTAAGAAGGTCTTTATTATATATACGCCCTTAATATACAACATGATTAGTGATTGCTGAATCCATGACCATATATTTTGCCGTGGCTATACTTGATTTCTTTTCCTTTAATGTTTTTATGTTTTTAATTTTTGAAATCTCAGTCATTCACTGTGCATTCGTGTTGTATTCTTCTAAAATAACAGATGCCTGCATATCTTGTGTCTAGATCTATAGTATATATGCATTTTTAAAGCCAATTTATTGTTACTAGTCTGTGTAGTAATTTAATTTTTTGAGCTATAATCTTAAGGGAGAAGGCTCGTAAGAAGAAAGAAGAAGAAGAGAAGAGAAATGAGAGAGAAAGAGAAAAGGTATTTTGCCAACTCAACCCTTTATTTCCCAGTAATCTCATTGAGTTTCACTACTGATGTAGCTGAGTATCTTACGATTTTATATTTACGATATTGGGGGTTTGCATGTGCATAGACTGTAAAGAGACATTAAAGCAACTATGAACTTCCGTCTCAGAGTTTATGCTTTGGGGATTGTTGATCTTAAGACTCTATGATCTTCCAGTTAAGAGCTTGATCCTTGTGGCTATATACATGCTTTGGGGATTTCGGCACTGTAGTTTGAGGCTGGGCATTGTCTCTATGACACAAGCCCAAATGACTCTTTGTTTGAAAAGATTTGTTGAAGGTATAAAACATCTGCAAGAGTTTTCCCAATAGCTTTTAGGAAAGTTGGTCCTGGACCCAGCTTGATTCAGCATTGCTTAGCCAGGTAGAAAATTTCAAATGGAAGCTATAAATTGGCGCCAAAATAAGTCACATCTTTTTGCATACTGATCTTCACCCACCTGCACAGAGAAATCCCCCACGTCACGATTCTCATGAATAAGACTGCCATAGCTTGTCAAAAACATGCAATATCATAATATCATCGGATGAATTTCAAGCTGCTATATACATGTTTTGTTCCCAATATTTAAGAAGTAGTTCACTTATTTTTGTTTTTTCATGCAGGAAAGAATTCGAATTGGCAAGGAGTTGCTTGAAGCAAAGAGGATTGAAGAAGATAATGAGAGAAAACGGTCTGACTCACCTAGTTGTCTCACATCATATGTTTTAATTTGAATGAACCTAGCCATAAGAGAATTCTGCTTACTTTTGCAGGTTGTTAGCTTTGAGAAAAGCAGAGAAAGAGGAAGAGAGAAGGGCTAGAGAAAAAATCAGGCAAAAGTTGGAAGAAGACAAGGTATTTTTTAATTTTTTCTTCTTTTTCCAAGCCTGTTCTTATCTGAGTTTGTAAATCATCTTTCTCAATACACCAGAAGTAGAATTTCCAGATGACTATTAAGTCATGCAATAAGAATAGGATTAAATATAGTGTAATATTGTCATCTGTCTGATATTGGATACCAATAGCCAATAGCACTTTTTGTGATTTGATTCTTATTTTTTTCCCTAAGGTAATCTACCTCGACAATATTATTGGATACCAATAGGCAATTTCTAATTCATTATGAAAACAAATGTCGAAAGAAAAGTAGTTTTGGGGCCTCCTCCTACTATAGTATTACTATTGATGGCTGAGGAGCTTTTTTAGAGTACTTTGGTCCAAATTTTAGGAATACTTGAACATGTTGAGCAATTTCTTTAACATGATGGCATACCGATTTGAATATCTGTTATTGGGGGATCAAAATTAGGTGACTTTATTTCTCAATTATGGCAGGCAGAAAGAAGGCGAAAACTTGGATTGCCTCCAGAGGAGCCTTCAACAGCCAAACCTTCAACTGTTGTAGAGGAGAAAAAGGTATTATCTTGTCCAGAAATGATGACATTTTTTATGCCATACCTATTTATTTGAAAATTGCAAATTTCTGCATGCAGAGTTTCCTGCCAATTAGGCCTGCTACAAAAACTGAGCAGATGAGAGAGTGCCTGCGTTCTCTCAAGCAGAACCACAAGGTACATTTACATTGTCATTTGCTGAGTATTCTGTGATTCATCTACCTAGTTGACAGTGTTAGGCAAATGAATGTTTGATACAAGTTGTATTAATATCAACTCAAATTCTAATGGTGAATATTGTAAGAGGTACCATAGAAGTTTAGTTTCCCTTTATTCTATAACCCTAACAATTGCAGTGGTAGGTCGAATTGATTGTTAGGAACCTAAGAATGGTATAAAATAGTAGAGAATCTACTTAGTTGACGGTGTTAGGCAAATGACTGTTTGATACAAGTTGTATTAATATCAACTCAAATTCTAATGGTGAATATTGTAAGAAGTACCATAGAAGTTTAGTTTCCCTTTATTCTATAACCCTAACAATTGCAGCGGTAGGTTGAATTGATTGTTAGGAACCTAAGAATGGGATAAAATAGTAGAGAATCTCTTCCAAGGGTTTCTCAAGGTTATAAATATTCAAAGATAATCTCTAACACATGTTCTCCTATTTGTACACATTCTCTCTATATCAATCGCAACAAACTAACTAATTTCAATAACAACTCTTAACTACTTTGATTTTTTATTTTATTTTATAATCCTAACAAACATCAGTATTAGCCCTCCATTTTAAGAACCAATTTGGTGGCAAAGAATGTGTGATATTTAAGGAATGATTTGATGTCACATAAGTGTTCAAAGGACCAATATAAAGATCAAAATATTTTTCAACTTGGACATATCTTTGAAGGACCAAAATGTGTTAGTGTGACAGTATTATCAACTGCATCATTTGTTCTCCTAAAAGGAAATTGATTTCTTGCTGTATAATGATGCATATGAAATAATGTTAGTGAGACAACACTTTCTGCTCAAATATTGTTACGCCTGCATATTTACATGTTTGCTTTATTCTTGGAGCAGGAGGATGATGCCAGAGTGAAGAGAGCATTCCAAACTCTTCTAACTTATGTGGGGAATGTTGCCAGAAATCCTGATGAAGAAAAATTCAGGAAGATTCGTCTTAGTAATGCAGCTTTTCAGGTAAGAAAACCTGTAAGATGGTGTGTTGTACTTTGGTATTTTCAGGGGATTCAGTGTAGCTGCTAGGGAAGAAAAAAAAGAAGCTTACCCAACCAGGAAAAAGAAAAGAAAAAAATGATTAAATCAATACTCTTGAAATTCAGGATGGGGATTATAACAGAGTTTGGGACCTTTGAGTCATCAAATTATTGTTGGGCATAGGTAGAATTTTGCATCCACCATATGGACCCTAAAGTTAAACCACCAGGTTTACTGGTTTCAGGAGTTTAGTTGGTTGACATAGGATCAACTTTTTGTCACTGTAATATGCTCAATTGTGTATAATATTTCTCTTGTCTAAAAATATGCCAGGGTAAGATGTTAATGTATGTTTATGATTGCTTACATGCATCTAAGTAATTTAAATAAGGCGTGTTAATAAGCCCGTGTCTATGTTGTGTTTAACAGGAAAGAGTTGGTGCTTTGAAAGGAGGCATTGAATTCCTTGAAATTTGCGGGTTTGAGAAGATCGATGGTGGTGAAGTTTTGTTTTTGCCTAGGGACAAGGTTGAGATTCCAGTCCTGAATTCAGCGGGGTCTGAACTAGACTCTGCAATAAAGAATCCCTTTTTTGGAGTTCTTTAGTTGATACTGTTGTAAGAAAGGTTTGACAATAATAATTTGGTGTTTTAATGTCAATTCCTTCTATTTGTTCATGAAACTGTTACTTATTTTTCATAGCTTGAAGGGATCAGATATATTTGTCCTTGTGTCATAACTTTTTGCGGTTAAAGCTGTTTTAAGCTTGGGATTAATGAAGCAGTTTAAGCAAAACATTGAGATGTCTATTTTCAATGTTTCCATCTTATTCTTTTTCCGGTGGGAAGAAATCTTTCAGAATATATAGATTGAACATGGAGAAAGAAATCTGACTTTGTGGTTGCTTTATTTCCCATTCACCAGCCACCAAATTGTCAGTGTCTTGTTTATCTGTACCAGATTATTACTGCCTCTTTTTATTGTGTTTGCGTGACATAACTGGCATTTTGGTGATTTATAATTAATAAGTTAATGAAATTTTAACTGCACAAGCATAATGTATTGGACAAATGTGACACAGCATTATTATCAGCTACATTAAATACATCCACAGGGACACATTTCTTATGATACTTGCTATTTGACTAACAAACATATTATCAAAAACATAAAATGATAAATAATATACTCCCTCTGGTTTCCTATATAAGGAAAAAAGTAAACTTTAAATGGTCTTAAATATAAACAAAAGTATTATAGTTATTAAATTTAATGCCATTGTTTTGAATTTATCTCTAATTTAATGGATTCATACATTAAATTTGTTCATGAGAAAAAGGTAAAATATTTAATGCTATTGTTTCAAATTTATCTCTAATTTAATGGATTCATACATCAAATTTGTTCATGAGAAAAAGGTAAATTTTGGAAAAGCGTGATAGTTTTTTGTTGTTGCCATTTTCCTTAAATAAGAGAAACTTTAGTGAGTATTTAACAAGCCTCAAGCTGAACAGTAGATGTCTATTATGTTGAACTTGACTATAATCCAATGAAGAGTGGTGTAGAAGAATAGTTTTGACAAATATTGTCGCGAATAAGGTGACAATCCAATCGGGTCTGTTTCGTTCTTTTATAAAAAGTTAAATTTTCAACAATTTGAATGATTGTTTTTCCATCTTAGAATGCAGTTCACACCATTGAAAATTTGAAATTATTCTCAGGTGCGTTTGAAGATGTACTTTTGGACGCACCTTAAATCACTATATCTTTCGTAAATCAAGCAACCACTTCATTTTTTTTTGCCAAAAATAGTCCGAAGTTGTATTTTTGTAAATTTTTAGGGTGAATTCAATGACACATTTTCGAAAATGTTAAGCGAAAAATTGAATATATCACCACCTTGCATAACCATCTCTCCCACACTCCATACCACCTCCATAATCCAAAATCTTTAAAAACATTTCATTCTCAATCAATTTTTCGACTCTAAATCATCACTCTTGTGTTTTATCACATCAAAGAGAAAAAGAAGCTGTAATTTAAGGTAAAGTTCACTTATTTTATCCTTCATTGCATGCATTAATCTTGTTCTTGAGCTGAAAAAATGTACGTTACGTCTGGATGTGCATATCTGGGTTTTCCTGCTACTGTGAGTTTTTAAAATCGTTTTTCTGTTTTGGTTCGTATTAGATATGGTGCACTCACATATGTTTTTAAAAGTTGTTGTAAGTAATGATGTAAAACCGAGTGAAGTGAATGATGATGTTAAACCGGATGAGGTGAAGGGTAATATTAAACCGAATGAGGTGAATGATGATGTTAAACGGATTGTTAGGCCGATTGTTATCGACATAGATGTTGGTCAATATTTTAGAAATGAACAACTATTTACTGCTCGTGAACATATGCTTTAATGGATCCGCATAGAGGCCATGAAATTGGGGTTTGCCATTGTAATAAGAAAGTCTTACAATGGTTCAAATAGAAGGCAACTACATCATTGTGTATTAGGTGACTTTCAAAATCGTTACATTTTGTTGAGGTTTATTTGAAACCGGGGTGTCCTATACCAAGTACACCATTGAAGTGAGCGACATATTCCACAAAAGAGACGGAAACTTGGCCGGATCACTTTCTGAAAAGGAAGGAAGAGTTCACCAAATTGAACGAGCTCTAAAGAGAATAAAATAAGGAAAAGTCGAAGGAGGAACAAGTAGTAAATTTAGGCGGTGATGCATCTTTTGATACATTTTAAATTGTAATTCATATTCATCAATGATAATGTAAATGTTGATTGTTTATGTTTACAAATTTTATGGTTTACATCTTCTGTTTATGTTTACACAATTTTTGGTCTGTTTCTGGTTCAGGGGTGATTCTGGATATCCATATCCTGATACGCCCCATACTAAATTAAAAAAACACAACAGGGAATTTTACGGATGTGCATATTTGTAATCACCCTTTTTCGTAAAAAAGTAGGACGTATACAGACATGCATCTCCGAAAAGTGTCCTGATGACAGGATAAAGTTTCTAAGATCTAAAGTGATAAAAAACTTGTATAAATAGGGTGTCTCTCATCTCATATTTTCTAAAAACACACCAAAATTAGAGAATGCATGCATATCCTCACCTTGCATTTGTGTATTTCAATGGCGCGAAGTCGTCATTTTCATTTAGGATCACCGATGACACACTTGTCACAATCTGATATCTAAATTGAATACTCTCCTGCGATATTCAAAAAATTGAAAAAATGTCAAACTCGAGTATCGTTCACTCTCGTTTGAGAGTGAAAGGAAGATACAATTCACCAATTTTAAACTGAAGACGGATGAATACTTAAGGGTTATGTGAAGTACTTTTTACCTTTATGCATTAAAAAGTCCGATTGAAGTGGATGCGAAGATCGCAAGATCTATTAAAGATATTATCAATATGTTGCAACGTCCTCAACTACCTGTTTATAATGATATGTAATATTATATTTATGTTAACGACTATCTATGTAATGTTGAGTGTTTTAATTTAATGTTAAGTTGTTGTGGATTCTAGTTTTGAATTCAGCTGGATCTGAACTAGACTCTGCAATAAAGAATCCCTTTTTTGGAGTTCTTTAGTTGATACTGTTGTAAGAAAGGTTTGACAATAATAATTTAGTGTTTTAAGGTCAATTCCTTCTATTTGTTCATGAAACTGTTACTTATTTTTCATAGCTTGAAGGGATCAGATATATTTGTCCTTGTGTCATAACGTTTTGCGGTTAACGCTGTTTTAAGCTTGGGATTAATGAAGCAGTTTAAGCAAAACACAGAGAGGTCTATTTTCAATATTTCCATCTTATTCTTTTTCCGGTGGAAAGAAATCTTTCAGAATATATAGGTTGAACATGGAGAAAGAAATCCGACTTTGTGGTTGCTTTATTTCCCATTCATCAGCCACCAAATTGTTAGTGTCTTTTTTATCTATACCAGATTATTACTGCCCCTTTTTATTGTGTTCGCGTGACATAACTGAAATTTTGGTTTAAGATTTAATTTATAATTAATAAGTTAATGAAATTTTAAGACTTTTTTTTACTGTACTACTCTAAAGTTGAAATTTTAATACCAAAATACCCCATTCTGAAAAACAAAATTAACCAAGATGTCCTATTCCTAGTACATGCTCGTCAATTAGGATGACAAACACATGAAGCATTTTCGTCCACTTAGTTGGCGAGCACCTTAATATTTTAATATTTTTAAAAATATATGAAAAAAATAAAAAAAACATTAAAATATTAAGGTGCTCGCCAACCCAGTGGACGAGCATCTTCATGGACGAAAATGCTTCATGTGCTTGTCATTCCAGTTGACGAGCATGTACTAGGAATAAGATATCTTTGTTAATTTTTTTTCATAATGGGGTAATTTGGTATTAAAATTTCAACTTTAGAATAGTACAATAAAAAAGTTAAATTTTAACTGCACAAGCATAATGTATCAGACAAATGTGACAACGTTATTATCAGCTTATTGCGGTGAGAATAAGATATCAAATTATTAATTAATTTGAATCACATCTTTAGTTCACAACCGGTCTTTGATTCATCCGAAGGAAAGGTAAAAGAAAGAAAAAACCTATTTTGCATCGTAAACAATACGGGGAGAGATCTAGGTAAGGGGTTGGTTAAGCTTAGGGAAGGTATTAACACCCTAAACTTTTGTAGTACTCTACAGGAACATCTTATTTAAAGTTTACTATTTTGCTTTAATTATTTGCTTATGGGTATATTGCTAAGGGTTAAAGGTGAAAGTAAAGACCTAAGGGTTAGTCCTAAGTTTACTCGCCAAGATTCGCATCTTGTGCCTACGTATCCTGGGTAGGGGATGAAATCAGAGTAATCATAGTTCCCCTCGAAAGGGAGCTTAAAAACTTCTTGACAGTGGTCAAAGTTTTAATGGGGAATAAGTGTTCATAGGGAAGCGCTTACGTGGAGTGTGGAGACTCCTATTTCTATGTTGAAATTGAATTGAAATGAAAAGGGTAAACTAGGTATTCTACAGCGGAAAACCTAATATGGAATACGGCGGCTCCTTATCCTAATGCTAGGGTAAAGGGTAATCTGGTCCACGGCGGGACGCCTAGGCAATGGTGAAAAAGTCAAAGGTAAGAACTATTGACACGACGATCAAACGGCTAGACCTATTCATTCGGAAGGGAAATAACGGTAAATAATACAATGACAAATAATTATCAAGCGACAATATTGAAATATGGAAAAGTATGCAAGAATGATAACAAAATTGAAAAACGACGATATCCTTGCATAAATTACAACCATAAACTGAAACGAAAAAAATAAAGAATTACAAACCGTACCACTGAGAAATAAGAAAATCATATGACAACTACCGGGACTGTTGGGAATTTCTATTTTTGACTTTCGGGTTAGAAATTAGATTGAAAGTGTTAGCAAATTAAGTTAGAATTATTTTCAAGCAAAAATTTTAGAATTAAATTAAAATGATTTTTAGGTTTAATGTTTTGAAAAAAGGTTATTATTAATTTATTTACAAAAATTTTAATTTTAAATTTAATTTAATTTAGTTAGGAGTTAAT